AGTTTTTCCATGTGAAAAGTGACTCACAAAGCAGAAGATGGAACGAGTGTTGTTGGCAGAACACACAAAGCAATTATTTATGACAGGCTCACTTAGATTCAGGTTGGTTGGTTGGTTAACGAGTTGACTTGTTCACGTGCCGGAATTTCTTTCGTATGCTAGAAAACAAAACTCTCTGTTTAAAAAAGAGACGTTTTTATGAAAAGTTGTGTGCATGGGTTTCATCACGCAATTTGTGGCCTTTGATGAGCCAACTCGAAAAGCCCTGTCTGTGGTCACGCCAGTGGGTCACCTTCAAGCTGAAACACTGAATATTTGATAAAATGAACGCGAACCATCAAGCCTTCTGCACAGCCATTTTAATGCACTGTTTTAAATCCAGTAAATGTGACGCAGCCACCTAAATCCGTTGTGTAACATGTGGAAGAGATACCAACCCATTCGTATCTGGTTTGGAATGAGATTTTCTCGCTACAAAACATGAACATCAGATATGTACTTTGACAAAAGCCTGTCCGTTTGCAAAAGCAAATGCTTTAGATCAGGCAAAGCATGTCTGTGAATTCAGCAATCTAGTCATGTACGCCTGGAGAATCAGTGTGCCTTTGCTAGCATATGAACATTGCAATACCGTAATTTTTCATAAAGAATACTGAGAACGCAACAATCAAATTCTTATGGCTACTAGGAAATGAAATATCCGAAATCGAGGTATAAAATTCAATAACTGTCTTTGGCTGACACTACACTAAATATTGTAGGGTTTTAAAAGATGATTTATCATGTTCTCAAGCTACCTAGAGCTCCGAATCAATTTTTGCTGTTCCTTGAAAAAACTGTATGTGGATCTGTGTCGTTTCGCACCCTATGTTCTCCAGAATAACTGTCACGTTGGGCAACTGATTCCGCTTATCCGAAAATCTCACTGGGTCCCTCAGTTTATCTAAAGACCAACATGGTCGAACAGGGATGACGAAGAATCATTTATGGATGCAAATGTCCTTGAATTGAGAAAAACAAGGAGAGGGAGCACTGCCAAAAGTACACCGGTGGGCTGGGTGGAACCACTCTTTATGTCTCACTACTGCGTTTTGTGCAGTATAGTTTATGCACTCCTTGGGAAAAGTACAACTTACTGAATTTCACTTTCATTACTTTTTGACTCATGTTTTGTCAACCATTCTGAAACGGTAACCAACAGATCCACTGAGCCACCTCCAACAGGATCTCAATATTAATCCGAAGAACTGTGACAACAGATTTATTCACTGACATTCTAGAATGTGCAGAAGAGTGGAAACGGAACATTGAATCGCTGGTGAAAAATGAAAAATCTCAAAAGATGTTATTTAGCCTCTTTGTTTGAGGTAATTTGCAACCAATGCATATCGCGCATATGTTGCAAGAAGCATCCGGTAATATCAGACTGACAAGTTTGGCTGCAGTTTAATCATTTTCTATGTTCACAGCATATTTCAGAACACCTGACATGAGTGGTACTCACCTAATGACGTGACTTTATGAATTACTCTCTTCAGATGGTGAAGACCATTTTGTAAGTGAATAAAATTTACATTAACTCGAAAGACTTCATAATTCGAACCGGAGGCACTTAGATAAAGCTGACATCTATGACCAACTCACCCACCATTGCCTCGCTGAACTGAATTTCCTCCATTTACCATGTACTTCTGTTCTTTGTCTAATTAAATTCGCGGAGTGGACGTTATATAAAGCATATTCAGTAATACAAGTATCATAACTAATGACTTCCAATCTTTAGTGTATTTGCAGCGCATTTATACTGAACGTCGTGACCAGACTTCGGTGGAACGTGCAAACAGACAGTGGGTGATAAAAGAACCCTTGCAAAACCAGTGATCCGGCCGGAACCGTTTTAGACGTCGTGTTTGTGTGAAGTGTATAAATCTGGTGACAAATTCAAATATCCTTGGCATTGTTTTCATACAAATCTTTTAAAAAAGTTTTTCCCCTGCACTGACGGATTCATTGCGGTCAGTCCGGATCTCTGACTACAAAATTTAAGTGCGTGGCGCAAAGAAATTGGTTGAGTAATTGGTCTGGCAAAAGAACTGATCAGCACCTAATGAACAAGTGCCGTTTATTAGGTTCGATATTATGCCGCTTGACATGACACAGTACTTGACAATGTTAGACAGCATCCAGTCGAAATTTCAGTTAAACAAAGATTGCAGTTTTGGGGTTTTGTTCATAGTCACACCACTCTCGTGTGAACGGTCGTGTTTCTGTTCTGGCGTAATTATTCCGGTGAGTCCACACCAAAGAGAAGCACTTGACTCGAGTTTCGCTCTCATTAGAGCTCATCAGCAGTGCATATCCAATGGCCGTGTCGGGATTTGAACCCCGGACGTCTGACACGCGAGGCGAGCTTGTAACCACTACAACGCACGTTGGACGCATCTGAATTATCACGCCTGAACAGGCAAACATGTTCACAATTGAGCCCGAATTACCGAACGACGACCTAGCAAATGTCCAGATTGTGACGATCGATTGACCCGCCAGTCAAGACTTCCCAGTCAGCTAGCCTGACACCCGCTTGAAACCCACACGCCACAACCACTAACCCACAGCTACGCACCACTACGCGCCCCAATAACGCGCTGATGATGTCACCCTGATTGGTGATGAAACGTTTGCAATCAAACTGCCCAGCTCAGCGAACAAGCCAACGACCATCTACGTTACCTGAGTTACTGATATTTCCCTCCATAGAATACATTTAAAAGTCTTATTTTGAAGATAAGAATAATGGGGAACGCAGAAGGGATTTTGATAGAATATTACGGTCATTCAAAGGTGCTCACACATACAGGTACTCATTCAGGCAGCATGGATAGTAAATGACACTAAGAATGCCAATGACATTGAATAACAACCATATTTTGCAGTGTTCCCAACCACGTGACATGGGGTCACGTGGTCCCAAGCCTGGAAGGTGTGTGATACTGGCAACACCTATAATTTTCGTAATCTCTATCGGAAACCTCTGCCTAGCAAAATACTGGCCACTTCTGCTTCCGTCACTCTGAATCAGGAACAGAAAAAAGCAGTGCCTCTAGTAAACGATGGCTTAGCATGCGCAATACATGGTCCGACCAGAACAGCTTCTTCAATGGATGTTCCAGATGCACATCCGAAAACTCACTTTCAAACTGGATGGTCAAGGATTCGACGACACCATCGCACAAAAACTATGGTTCTGAAATAATGGTTTCCATGAACCTGAAGACGCCTTTGATCAAACAGACAATAAAACAAAATTGCCCATACTGCACCCTGATACACACGTCCTTTGAGATTCAGGGACATACCATTTCCTCACAATAGCTGTCTCACATTGTCTAACGAAACCCTAGCCATCCAGATTCATGAATTGACCTCATCTGTCACAATATACTCAACACTAATACGCTTCCAACATCCTGAAAACCCTCCTCTACCCGCAACCCTCCCTGGATTGCGGGTAGCGCGTGTTCAGTGACTACACGTCCAGGAGCATGACTCTACACCTTGTGAGTGCAAGGTGTATACTAAAAGACTTTTTATCGATTGGTTCAAAAACGAATGCGTCTTATCTTCCTCTTTGAATACGAGAAAAATTTCGGGAAGTTTTTTGTTGGAAGCTATTTGAACACAGAGGTTTTAAAGGCACCCTGGTGCTGATCTCATTGTCTTGTTGATCACAAAATTTAATAAGATTGGAGAACAAGTACTCCTGGCGGACATCACTTTGTGTACTGAAGTCTAAAGTTACAAATAACTTATGTTTACAGGCTTGCGGGACATTTTTGACGGGTATTTTCTTCGAGAAGATCATACCGTCCGACTGAATCAAATGCCCTTTGGAATTCCAGAAATACTAAAACTTTAGGTCATTTGTGCATCAAGATTTGTTCTCGCACCTGACATATTGTGAAGATTTGGTCACTGCTACTCTTTCGAGATCAAAATTCCGATTTCTTCTCTCGGTCAAGCATTTCACCAGCCACCATGGAATAAAGAAGGAACAGCGACGTCAACATTTTCGTCACGAGCCTATCACTATGTGTTTCCCGTACTCAATATGATCCTATTTTTTACAATGGACACCACAAACAGATCAGACAGGCACTAACTGAGGACTTCACCCCATCTTTAAAGAATGCAGGTGGAAGGACATCCGGACCAGGATCTCGGTTATGTTTGGGAAAACAAATGCAGTTATAAACCTCCGCACGCCTATCTCACACGAGTGTAAAGAAGAAAGAACCAAACGGAAAAAGCGGATCATTTCCAAAGCCTTTGTGATGCAATATAGGATGCTTCCCCCGGTGATGAAGTTCTGTATAACAGTCGTTGTTTTAGACTATCACGAAAGGCAACCGAGGGCCAGGATATTTAATTGACCCGACGAACTCACCCAACTCGGACCCATTATAGAACGCTGCAGGTTTTCGATAACTGAAGCAGTAAAATCACTCCGTCTTCAGCTGGCCACCCCGGTGTTCGCATTATTATAACGCATGAAGCTGGTGATGATGTGATCACTTGTTGAGTTTGACCAATATTGTGTTGGCGTTAGCTCACAAAAAATGTGTAGACAGTCTGTCACACAATGACCACACAAGTAAGGTTTGGCCGACATCAACCAATTTGCCCTTACGTAGAATTTCCGGGCGACCAACCACATTACCACCAAATGAGGGGTGAGATCTAAACGCGACCATGAAATTGATCTTGATTTCTTCATCTTTTGTCTTTTTATTATCTAGAAAGCCCCGCATAGCAGATGGACATAACCCGTGTGTGAATCTTTATAGTATTGGTCAGGAACGTCAGTCACGGGCAATGTGAACAAACTGCCAAGGTAGCAATTCTGCCTCTGGTTGGGCTTTGTCTAGGCCTAACACCTCACCAAACAAAATTATTACAAGATTAACACCCACTAAAATTACTTTTCATCGTCATCAACTAGCATGAATCTGATACCAAATGTATGTATTTGCTTGGAATTAAAAACCACCATAATTGGACTGGGAAAGTGGATCACATCCAGCGAGTGAGTGAGGTTTTCAATTGATTTACGAACAATTAACATTTCAAACTTAACTGTCATAGTTTCTTCTTGTTTTCCGAGATAAATGTGGTCATCCTAAATAAATGGAGAAAACGTCCGGAAAGGCGGCGACACAAACAAAGCACATAGATAAAAACTTGAGTTTTTCGATAAAAATTAGATATATACATCATACCAAGATTGGAAACTTTTCTCAGGAGAATTTTTCACACAATGTAGTAATGTTTGTTCATCTCATGATGCAGTAGAGCAGACGAAATGTTTCGGACTGAACGCAGCCTTTATTACTACTTTTTCTACGTAATCTTATTAGTCACCGAGAACAGCTGTTGCCAACCCGTTTTCTTCAATTGCAACTGCTTATGCGGAAACGCACCTAGGTGGCATTTTTAGTGGTTTTAAGATGTAAAGAAGAGCAGTAATGTGATAATGCAAATGAGTACGCTAAGGTTTAGTTGCTGGCAATTCCCCAGCGCTAGTTCACTTTATTTTAGGCATATGTCACCAAAATTATTTCAAAGCAAACCGTTAGTATTCCCTAACTTCGCCGATCCTACTGCTGTTTCTCAAAAGAACATGTAACTTTGGTCGGAATGATCGCCCAGGTTTCCGCTGAAGCATTTACGTCACAAAAAAATTTTTGGTGACAGAGCAGAAGAACAGTAGCTGCACCTGGAGGATGCCTGCTAAATTTAATAGCGCTCTTAGATATGGCCTTGGTTCTTCCCCGGTTTGGCAATTACGCGCTAAACAGAGACAGCGGCGTCGGTAAACTCAATTCTGTGACATTCCAGTTGGCTGCCTTTAACTGTGCCTCTAGTGAAGAGGTGATTTACAGCTGGCATGATTTCATAGCTAAATAATACCGACTTTTGCTCTTTTATTTTATCCTGGATTTCAATGACGAACAAGTCTTGAGTGCGCATTAGTTACTCGACAAGTCTAAAATTATATATGACAGATTTTTGTAAAGTGCTTTTTGACCAGTTATCAATTCCTGCCGAAATGCAGTCGCCATAAATATACACCATGATGGGTGATGTGGAACTGCTTCCTAATACTCAGTGATATTTATGGGGAATGTCTGATACTGAAACAGGGGCGAACATGATGCCACACTAGGACTCACATTTCACTCAATGGTTCCTCCAAGAGATCTGTCCGGGTCGTTGGAGTGATGGTCTGAGGTACTCATTATTGCCATGTGCAATTTCGCATGAGAGTTAGTCTGTGCATAGTCGCAAACGCTGATCAGGCACAGCTGTGAAATGCTACCCCTAAATCAACATCACACGTATGAACAAAAGTGTTCAGTTTGTAAGGCCAAATGACTGTCCTTTGTTCATGGTGACTTATTATCCTTACACCAGAGCGCATACGCTTAAAATGTTTGTGATCCGTTCTAACACAGCGTCTGCACTAGCCAGGGCGATGAAAAAGTCTAGGCTATAAACCTTCTATGTTTTAAAGGTAAAAGTGACCCACTGCGTATCCACAGCTCTTTTATTCTAGTGCTAAATATTCTAATATTACAAAATAGTAGGCGACGCAACGTGCAGAGCTTTTTTGAGTTTTCGGACAACCAACAAAAAACAATGAATGTATTCCCTACCTAGTTCAGAGTAGCGCAGCGTACCCGCCAAAATTTTTTGTACGCCAGTTCTACCGTGCGCTTTTCGCGGAAACTGAACAATATAGCTTGGGGATTTTTTTAGTTTAGGCTGAGAAAGTACCCCACACAGAGACACTTTTTCTAGATAATGGGGCTATACGGTTTACCCGGTGCTAATTGAAATCCCACCATACAGACGATGCTTAATAGATAAATGGAAAATTTTTTGAGACGTTCATTCTTGGAACAGTTGTCTCAACCGTAAAGATAGAAAGGAACAACTTGTTTTACACCGCCGTTTTTTACTGCTCAGTCGAGCATAATCGACTGGTAACTTTACCACTTTTTTCTGCGAAACTAAATATAATTCAGGAAGCACGTATGAAGTGGGTCAAAACGTTTTCGCCCAGGATTTTAACAAAGTCACTGAAATGTGCGTGACATCTTACTTAAACGTGCCCTTGGACCGTGCATACTACTACAAATCAACTAGTTCAAGATTTGAATTTCCTCAGCTGGACTGGAAGGGTGATGCCGCGTTAATAAAACCGCTTTCCCCATGCAAAATTGTAATGCTCTTAGAATTGTTACAATTTGTAAATTTCCAATAACAGAGACCCAAATGTGTTGCCCAGAATTGGTCCATTTCTCGATGGATTTTTCTTTTGTGTACACGTTTACTTCACATTGTGGCATATTCCCACTCACAAGATTACCCCTGTTGGGCAAATACAAGGCAAACTCAAACAGAAACCGACTATTGTTTCTCCAAGCACTACTTAACGTGACTGCATTTATTACAGGGCTTCCTCCAACAGAGAGGAAACGAGAATTTCTGTTACATATGTAATCAGCCTTTGTTATTCATGCGGAAGTTCTAAAGCAAAGCCTTTACCCCTTGTGTGCGATCTCTCCAAGGAGACATACGTTCAAATCCCAAATGGACTGTGGTCAGTATGGCCTCCACTGCTCTTCTTCTGTTGCTGTCCCATCAGCTCACATTTATTTTTCGGCAGCATAGTACCGACCTGGCTTTTCGTGGTCTGCCGAAGATGTACTTATATACAGACTTATATTTACTTATATATATGCATATATATTAATTCTATCGTTTGATTGGTTTCGGAAAATGAGTTAAACAAATTTAGAATCAGGATTGTACTCAATGAATGACCAACACAGAAAATTCCGTAAAAAGTATGCTTGAAAAGATGATGTTTCGAGTAGCCAATTATTTTGAGATTGCAAACCGAAAAGGTCATACAATTTTTTAGTTACAGCGAAATGGTGACTTCCCCCGTCTAAAGACAAAGTGGGTTGTGGCGGTGTTGTTATCCCTAAGCTGTCCTCTGGTCCCACAGAGGAACCTTTTGCCATTTGTAATGTACGCTTCAAGCGTGTGCATCACGGAAATCATTTTGCAACGAAATTTACAATTGTATGTAAAGCGATTAGTTATGAAGAGAAAATTGAAAACGGATGTCGGAATGAGCACTAGCATTCCGGTTTAAAGATGCTCACAACGCATAACCGAACATATTGATTATTGTATCCTCTGATCTGTCTGGCCCTCTGGGGAATCATGAGTAACATTAAATTGGTCGTGAAGTGATTGAGTGTGGAGTGAAGTTAATTCATTTACCCAATTATGAGTCAATAGAAACGTAGTTCTTCCTCTTTTGTGGGAATCGTACGGCTGAACATCATGGTCGGTAATCTCGAACTAAACTTTCGTTTGGTTATGCAGAAGGGAAAAATCCGAAACATTTGAGTTCGCTGTTTGCGGAGCAATCCCATTTAAAACTAGGTCAAACAAAGCAGTCCGACGCTGAAGCAAAAATGGCGTTTTCCGATGTATGTTTCACTAAATCGTTTTCATACAACAGACCGGTTTTTGGCTTTCTGGGGTTTTTGATTGATGGGATATACCATTAAATTTGGATTACGTAGTAACTGAGTTACTCCCATATTAGCTTCTTTATCTGAGTCACTGCGAGTCGATGAAAAGTCAAGGACAGTTTTAAGGTATAGAATATTCCCTTGACAGAGCATCGAACAGTTTGACCTCAGACAATCAATTTCTCCTGTTTTAGCTGGTTTTAACTTAGTGTTAAACACGAACCAAGTTATTGGTTCTGTTGTTGAGGGAGAGACAAATGTGCAAGCCTGCACAAGCTGCCAGCCAAAGTAAGAGAACAAAAGCGTCCAGTTTTATTAAAAAAACCTAAGGCTAGAGAGGCCGCCCCAATAAAATCACGGCATTTTGGGATACCGTATCTTCTGAGTAGCTGTAGAAGTGTCCTGGTGACACCACTACATTTATACCACGGTAAAGCGGAGCAGTAAGGGGTAACAGTTTGATTAGATTCGGCTAGCCTAGTCAACAATCAAGTTTATCCATTTAAACCGGTGTGATGCTGTTTTGATGATGCGCCAGTCATGTGGCTAATTAAACATACACTGGAGCTCCGCACAGATGATAACTTTGGCAGGGAGAGGGCCATCAAATAGGTCCCAAATAAGGTTTCGTCAGGGGGCATAAGAATTTATGAAAAGTCGTTGCAGCGCAGATTCTCCAGTTACCGATCATTACTTCAGCTGATTACACAGAGATACGGTAAAAGGTACCATATCTTCGACACTTAAACCGTTGGCCCTTGATTTGCCCCAAATTAGTTGACTTAAAATAAATGACATTGAAGCCAAGTGGGTCATCATTTCATCACAAATTGGCTCCATTGAACAGTACAGTCGCCTTGTTCATAAGGGCTGATGAATAAAATTATGCCTGAAAATAATTTTATGACTCCATCATAATATCCACATCGGGACTACGGGGAGGTATTTGCCGTAGTTTAAATCAAGCATTCCGTTCTGTTCTCTGCTTTCCAAAAGGTTTCAAACATTTTACTGGACCATTACAGCTTAACCCCAGGGGATAAGTGTCACGACAGAATGTCAGTTATGCTTCAGGGATGGAGTAGAATTTGTACGTATACGGAGCTTGTGGCCTCTGCGCTGTCAGCTGAAAACAAGAAAGGGATTCTGGCTGTCTCATTTTTTGTCCTCACCCGGACAAGCCAACGGACACGAACTGTGGCCACATGACGGATGACCGACACAGTCTTGCCGGAATCTTGTCTGGTCCCAAAACTCACCTTCCCTCCTACATCCCACGTTAGCGGCGCAGCTGTCTTTGGGTCACCAACCTTAATCCAATGAGAGACCATATAAATCAACAAGACTTGAACCCACATTCCAAGTTGCCCCGACAGTCTTGCACCCGAGGGGTGGAGAAAACACAAACTAGAAGGATTTATCGCGCTGTTTTAAGCTAATCGACCGGACGGAAAACATCTAGGGTACTGAG